CCATTCACACTACCCACGTGCTAAGCTCCCATGTGCAAAGGAATTAAAATACATTTCCAAATATGTTTGGAGCCAATATCTAAATGCACCTGAAAGTAGAAAATGCTTTACTATGGAAGAATAAACATAGACATTCAGCTGTGTATAGTTGCATTCAGCCTAGCTGCATTTACATAAAATGTTTCTGCATCTTGGGCCCATTTAGCCTAGTTTTGCAGCTATATGCATGGAAACATGTCTAAATGCAGTTAAGCACAGGAACATTGAAATGCAGGAAAAAGAGATCTGGGAAGTATAAAAGTTGTTTACACTTTCCAGATAAATCTCCTGTGTTTAGCGCAGATGGCCCGTGTACACGTGGCCCAAAATGCCTAATTTTTGCATGAGAGCTAGCGTCTAGTTTGCCAGGCAGCCAGGGGCATTGCAATGCATTGTTTTAGCACATCACACTGTTTTTTTTTTTTTTTACTTGATAGTGTACACTCCATTCATATCCCAGCACAGCAGCACAGTGCAGGGACATAGTCTGCATTTTTGGCAGCTCTGTAGTGTGAACAGGGCACATAGGAAACAGCTGTATTCTATTTGCCCTAGCGGTGATCTCTGTTCTGTGCAGAGAAAACGCAGGTCACTGCATACAGTGTGAAGGAGTCCTTAGAGAAAATAGAATTATGTTCAGGAAGGGTTGGAGTCTGGAGAAGACAAAGACAGGGAACAAGTTACATGAGACTGTTAGAGATCAGTCATTACAGCCCCTTTACAGAGCAATGCTCCTACTACTGACCAATGCGGTCCAAGGAAGGAATACAGTAGCCACATTGGAGTATCCTCCATTCATGCTGTAGAGTGAAGATGGCTGAATTTGTTAGATTGCTTTCATTGAATCCAACTTTGAAATTGTGTGATGCCTATGCAGGTCTCATCTGAACTTGCAAAAAGTACTGCATGAAGTCAGAGTCGGAATCGCACCAATGACCATTTCCATTGCTGGCATAGGGGGTGCGACTTGTCATGCGATTTGAAACTATCAAATACCATGACAAGTCGCACCGGTGTGACTAGAGACTAAAATGAAATGTGCATATGCTGCATAAAATAAACAACAATCATCTGTTTGATGCTCCAAATGAAATGTATCAACCTTATGCAAATAGCTCAAACAAAACAATGATACAACACCCATTATTGTGCAAGTCTGGGATAAAGTCCATAAACACCATAAAGTCCCGTAAGGAAATTTTACAAGCAAGTGCAGAAAGTATGTAAATTCTGAAACCTCCACCCAAGTGGACCCCTTTGGGCATACTCTCCCCTCAATATACTGACCCTCACAACATAGGTCAAATCACCCTCCAACATGATCAAACAGATCTACACACCCTCAGCTGGATCATCCCCAAACCAAATCGCTCCCTAGCTGTCCCCAGTTGGCACCATCAATGGGGCACTGTTCTTCCAATTGATACCAACAATGGAGCACTATTCCTCCTATTAAAATCAATGATGGAGCACTGGTGCCAGAGCATTTTCTACTCCCACTGGCCACAGTCCGACCCCATAAATCCTGAAGCACTTAAATTGGCCCTTTGCTTAGAAAGTTTGGAGACTTCTGATCTAGTGGCTAAAATTTGAGGGCAGTCGGGTGTAAACAGACAGAGGGCCCATTTACCCCAGTCTGCCTATATAGCAGAGTGGGCTGTGTCTGCTCTGCATAAACTAAGCGGACATGGACCTGTCATCCACCTGCTCTGCTCAGCCAGAGCTCAGCAGACAGATCCCCGTTAGAGTCGTCCCCGAGTGTAAGGGACCTTAGAGATCACTACCATTGCAGTCCCTTTACAAATCAAAGCTCCAACTACTATCAGGCCACCACAAGTACCAAAAGGGCCACAGGTTAGCTGCCAGGATTCTAAGAAACATTGTGCTCCTGGATCTAGTACACTACTGCAATGGGCTGCTTTTTCAGAGAGCGATTGACAGGTGGCAGGGAGATGTCACCTCCTCACTGCCTTAACCCTGAAAAGTGGACATGGCAAGCAAAATGGTTATGGCGTGGGCACGTTTGGGCAGGTATGCTGACAAATACCAATAAATATTGTCGTAACGGTGAAGCAAAGCATTGCGCCATGTGTACCATCCCGTTTTGCCCAGATTTGTGCTTTAAGCTATGCCAACTAATTTTTTTTTACCCATGTAGTTGGGCTGTGCTCGCAGTGCATAGGTCAACTGCTCCTTTTTTCTAGGGGTGAGCACAAAGAGTATACTCACCTGAACCCTCGGAAAACCGCATTCCCTCACGGTCAAGTGGTGAACTTTTCTTGTCTATGGAGCGTGCAGATTTCAGGTACAAGCCATGGTACTTGTCTGTTAATTCACCGGATATATATATATTTTTTTATATGTTTTATTTATATATATATATTTATATTATATATATATATATATATATATATATATATATATATATATATATATATATATATATATATATTTAAATAAAACATATAAAAATTATATATATAAAGCCGGTGAATTAACAGACAAGTACCCAATCCATTTTCAAAATCGCTGAAGTGTGGGGGTACAGGATTGGTCTTGTGAGAGGATTGGAAGATCAGGTAAATATACCTCCCCTGTCCTCTCCCCTAGATTAAAATGAGCAGTTAACCCATGCAGTGTGGGCACAGCACAGGGGGAAAAAAAAAAAAGGTTGCCCGGAGTTCAGCTTTAAGGCTAGGTTCACACCTCTGTGTGTTTTGATTGATGCTTTACTGGCACGTTTTGCTTTTTTTAACACGCTTGGTTTCTGGGGGGGGGGGGGGGTTATATATTCCAATAGGAAAGTATTGACTTTTGATGGGACTTGGGATGGGTGTAACTTGGATGGGACATAGATGCGACTTTGCAAGGGTGTGACTTAGATGCTACTTGAGGACCAGAAAGTGTAAAGTAGCACTACATGAACAGAACGGTCATACGTTCCCATTACCAAAAAAAGTCACATCAAAGTTGCACCCATCCAAATTTGCATTAGGCTCCAGTCACACTTTTGTGACTTCAAAAATCGATTCAAGTTTTTAAATCAATTTTCATTACAACTTTACAGTGCAACTTTGGCCTTGACCAAAGATGATTATTTGCGCTCTATAAAGTCACACACAAGACACATGTATAGGATCCAGGTGGGACTTTGGAGAGTTTACATTAAGGTCTATGGCGCTCAAGTCACATGAAAGTTGGACCAAAGCAGTGCAGGGAACTACTTTCAAGTTGCTGCGATGTGAACGGTACTCATTGGGAAAGATGGGGTGCTATTGTCATGCGACTTTGGGGTCCAAAGTTGCATGACAATAGCACCCCATGTTTCCCAATGAGTACTGTTTACATCTGTGCAGCCTGAAAGTTGCTGTGATTTGAAGTTGCACATTTGTGAACGGTACTCAATGGGAAACATGGAATGCTATTGTCATGCAACTCGGGACCCCAAAGTTGTATGACGAGTCGCACAAGTGTGAAAGGGTTCTCAAAGTGCCATCAAAGTTAATACTTTCCTATTGGCAACAAAAAAAATGCAAACAAAATTTAAAAATGCACTACGTGTTTTCCTGCCATGTCTCCATTGAAGTCTACTGAACCAAAACGCACCATGCTGCAAAAAGTCCTTTCCAAAAAACGCAGTGGCTGAAAACCGCGTAGGTGTGAACGTGTCCCATAGGAAACCATGGTAAATGGACTGTAGCGCCTTACTAAAAAGCGCAGAGGTGTGAACCAGGCCGAAGTTGGGCAAGTTTTCCCCCCAAGTGTGAAGCAGGCCTGGAGGGTAGAGGAAGTCCGGGGAGACGATGAGCAGTGGTAGAGAGCAGGGTGGGATTACCTGGGAGCTGAGATACCTCTTGAGACACTCCTCACAGACCCCCTTCTTACAGCACGGCAGAGGTTTGATGGACTTGTCCTCCAAGCACACCCGGCAGCTCATCATGACTTTATGTCCGCCATCCCCGAGGCTGCTGATCAGGAAGGGGGCCAGTTCCAGCTCCAGGCTGGCAGGACTGAGGGGCAGTTCACCATTGTTCCGGGGCGGGGAGCTCCGGGAAGGGGGTTCGGCCATAGTGCGGGGCTCCCCGGTGTACAGAGGAGGCATGTCCCCGGACAAGTCACTCTCCACACAGTATACAGTGCATAGGACGCCGCATCTCTTCTTCGGCTTGTGGCCCGCAGAGCCCCACCACCAACCTGTCTTCTATCGGAGGGGTGCCCGCATCCTCCACCTGTTCCTGGGGCTCCCCACTACTCCCTCCATAGGGGTCTGCCCGCACACCCCTCTCTGCGCCCCCGTCGTCGTCCTCCTCCTCCTCTTCATCCTCCTCGCTGCTGGCGATGTGCATGTGCTGTGTGTGCTGCAGCTCGTCATGCTGATCCCCCATTCCCGGTGCCCGTCTGCCCATACAGCACAACAAGTAGACACTTCTCCTAGTTGTCTTGTGCTTCCGGGTCCCTCCGGGGGCCTGTCCCCCTCACAGCTGTGACACCCACAAGGCACTGGGCTCCCCGTCCGTCCTCTACTACTTCTCCCTCCTGGAGACGGAAGCCCCCGTGCATAGCCCCTGTCTGGAGGCTCCCGGGCTCTTCTACTCTCCCCCGAGCATTACAAAGCGGCCAGCACTGAGGAGACAGAGGCGGGGACACAGCGCTGCTGCTGCGGCTTCTGCTGCTTTCCTGCTCTACCAGTGTGTTCAGCTGTTACCGTATTGTGTCTAGTACGGGCATTCAGGTGCTACCGTACTCCTCCTTCAGCTCCGACACACGGCACCAACAGCACGGGGTCACTGGCTACCGTATTACTAAGAATACGCGCCTCTAACCCGGGATAGTTGTGTCTGACATTCTCCACTGTTAGGCTGACCATACATTATACAATTATCTGCAGATTTTTGGTTTAGATTTACCAAAAACCATATAATAGGAGGACAAACCTAAACAACACTTTCAGTTGTATCCAATTAGGCAGGCCCTTGCACTACATAGTTGAAGGTAAATCTAAAGGAAATTGGGCAGAAAATCTGCAGATAATTGTATAATGTATGGCCAGCCTAAGTCCCCCTGCACACAGGACGTTAAGAAAAAATCTAGAAGTCTTCTTCCTGGCAGCAGCGTTGTTGCCGAAAAAACACTTGACACTTGAAAGGGCTCTTTCACATGGGTGTTCAGTATGTCCGTTTTTCATCTGTCCGTTTACAGATGAGAAACAGACACCTATGTATTTCTATGGGCTAGCAGATGTAAACTGATGATCATCGGTTTACGTCTGTTAACGTCCGCATCCCTTGACATTTGTTTTTTTGAATGGAAGAAAAACCTAATTTTCTTCCGTAAAAAAAACAATGGAAAGGATGTAAACGGACGTACAGTCTGTTTTTGCATTGGTAAAGGATGTAAAAAGGTGAAAAACGGATGTAAACTGATGAAAAATTATGAAAAACAGATGAAAACGGATGTAAACTGACGAAAAACTGACAAAAAACTGATGTGAACTGATGAAAAACAGATGAAAATTGAAGTGAACTGATAAAAAACTTAAGTGAACTGATGAAAAACTGACGTAAACAGATGAAAAGCTGATGTAAACTGATGTAAACAGATGAAAAACTGACATGAACTGATAAAAAACTGACGTGAACTGATGAAAAACTGATGTAAACAGATGAAAAACTGATGTAAACAGATGAAAAACTGACGTGAACTGATAAAAACCTAACGTGAACTGATGAGAAACTGATGTAAAAAGATGAAAACTGATGTGAACTGATGAAAAACTGATGTGAACTGATTAAAAATTGACGTGAACAGATGAAAAACTGACGTGAACTGATGAAAAACTGATGTAAACAGATGAAAACTGATGTGAACTGATGAAAAATTGACGTGAACGGATGAAAAACTGACGTGAACTGATGAAAACTGATGTGAACTGATGAAAAACGGAGGAGAAATGATGAAAAACTGACGTGAACTGATGAAAACTGACGTGAACTGATGAAAAACTGATGAGAACTGATGAAAAACTGATGTAAACAGATAAAAACTGATGAAAAATTGATGTGAACTGATAAATAACTGACGTGAACTGATGAAAACTGATGTGAACTGATGAAAAACTGATGTAAACAGATGACAACTGATGTGAACGGATGAAAATCTGACGTGAACGGATGAAAAAAACTGATGTGAACTGATAAAAACTGATGTGAACTGATGAAAAAACTGACGTGAACTGATGAAAACTGACATGAACTGATGAAAAACTGATGAGAACTGATGAAAAACTAATGTAAACAGATGAAAACTGACGTGAACTGATGAAAAACTGACGTGAACCGATGAAAAACTGATGTGAACGGCTGAAAAAGTGATGTGAACTGATCTGTTTTTACTTGGAAAAAAAACCTGACTGAACTGATGAAAAAAACGAAACACCCATGTGACAGAACCCTTAGGCTTTATGTAAATGAGCCTACTCTGATCGCCGGCTGCGGGAAAACGCAAATTGCGGCAGACCACGGCTGTCGGTCATAAATGGATGTAAACAGGTGAAAAACGGATGTAAACTGATGAAAAATTATGAAGAACAGATGAAAACGGATGTAAACTGACAAAAAACTGATGTGAACTGATGAAAAACAGATCAAAATTGAAGTGAACTGATAAAAAACTGAAGTGAACTGATGAAAACTGATAAAACATTGATGTGAACTAATGAAAAACTGAAGTGAACTGATGAAAAACCGACGTAAACAGATGAAAAGCTGATGTAAACTGATGAAAAACTGATGTAAACAGATGAAAAACTGGCGTGAACTGATAAAAACCTGACGTGAACTGATGAAAAAAAAACTGATGTAAAAAGATGAAAACTGATGTGAACTGATGAAAAATTGACGTGAACAGATGAAAAATTGACGTGAACAGATGAAAAAACTGACGTGAACTGATGAAAAACTGACGTAAACAGATGAAAACTGATGTGAACTGATGAAAAACTGACGTGAACTGATGAAAACTGACGTGAACTGATGAAAAACTAATGAAAAACTGATGTAAACAGATGACAACTGATGTGAACGGATGAAAAATTGACGTGATCAGATGAAAAACTGATGTGAACTGATGAAAAACTGACGTGAACTGATGAAAAACTAATGTAAACAGATGAAAACTGATGTAAACAGATGAAAACTGACGTGAACCGATGAAAAACTAATGTACACAGATGAAAACTGATGTAAACAGATGAAAACTGATGTAAACAGATGAAAACTGACGTGAACCGATGAAAAACTGATGTGAACGGCTGAAAAGGTGATGTGAACTGATCAGTTTTTACTTGGAAAAAACATGATTGAACTGATGAAAAAAACGGAACACCCATGTGACAGAACCCTTAGGCTTTATGTTAATGAGCCTACTCTGATCGCCGGGCGCGGGAAAACGCAAATTGCGGCAAACCGCGGTTTTGCTGCATTTTGCGTTTTCCCACGGCCGTCGGTCATAATGTTCCTATCCTGAACGCAATTCTTCTGCGTTTAGGAGAGGGACATTTAACCTCATCTAAACGACGCAGCAGCGCCTAAACTCTGCTAAAAGCCTTTGTGTACATGGACACATAGGCTTTTATGGAGCTGAGTTTAGAAGATTTGGTAAAAAAAATGCCAAAAGCTCCTAAACCTGAGTTTAGGCGCAGCAGTGCACATGGAGCCTGAGACCCTTGTCACAGTGGATGCGAATTGCCACGCGATTTGCATGCCAATGCAACTTGCAGCCTATTGTCTGCAATTAAAGCAGTCATATCGGTGCGATACGTTGTGCTGCATATTATTCCCCACTGAGCAAGGTTCTGACTTCTGGTTTGCATTTTGATTGTAGATTTCTGGCAGAAGAAATGCTAAACTCGCCTAAACTGTGTACAAAAATGATCTATATGAGCTTTTTTTCTGCCAAGGGAACTGGCATATTTTTGATGCCCAGGGTACATGGATCCTCCACTAGCTATGGGCAGCTGCAGTTAAAGCTGTAGTAAACCTTGTACTTAAAATGAAAAAAAAAAACTTTTCCTCTGCAAGGGAATATCATAATGTGTTAGTATGCATCGCATACAAGTACATTATGTGAAATTTACCTTAAAACGAAGCCCTCCAGTGGCGCGATGTCACCACTGACAGGGCTTCCATCTTCACTTGGTCCTTCTTAGATTTGCGGGCTTCGGCAGCTTGAATGACCGAGCCATGATGACGTCACTCCCATGCTTGTGTGCGGAAGTAATTTTTTATGGCACACAGCTCTAAAGGAATGGCCGTTCCTTCAGAACGCATGCACCGGTGCTGCTTTACACGTAAATGTCTCCTAAACAGTGCACATTTAAGAGATATTTCCAGTACACACAGGTATGCCTTATTATAAGTTTTCCTATAGGTACAAGTAATAGAACAGACTTTACTACCACTTTAAACTGTTAAAAAAGGAATACTTACATAATAGTTCCTTCTGGCCTAGAGATAGAAGAATGGACAGGATTATAAATCTAAAATTTCTGAAAATGTTGAAGCCATGGGAAAAAAAACATTTTTCCCTGTTTTTTTCCAGAAAAAAAATAAATTTTTTTGGAAAAACCGAAATTAAATTCAATGTAGAATAGTTTTGCAAATTGAAAGTCATTTGTTACCCTGGTAATGTGAAATGCGGTGTCTAAAAAATAAAAATGCGGAGTAGAAAAATATTATGCTTGAAATAAAAGTACAGCTTATTCAGTCAATAAACTAAATTTGATTTTTAAAATTGTGTTTTTTTTCATTACAATTGGAATAACAAGGATTATATATGTTAACCACTTCCTGTCTGGACACTTTTACCCCTTCCTGTCCAGGGCAATTTTTAGCTTTCAGCACTATCACACTTTGAATGACAATTACGCAGTCATGCAATACTGTACCCATGTGAATTTTTTACCATTTTTTTGAGACAGATAAAGCTTTATTTTGGTGGTATTTATTCACCGCTGGGATTTTTATTTTTTTTACTATGTAAATGAAAAAGTCCAAAAATTTTGAAAAAAAGTGTTTTTTTTTAATAACATTTTGCAAATAAATAATATTTCATCATAAATCTTGGCCAAAATTTATTCCGTTATTTTTTTAGTAAAAAAAAAAAAAAATCCAAATTAGTTTATAACCAAAAATTATAATTTTTAAACATTTTTTTTTTACATTTTATTTTTTTTTTTTTATATTATTATTTTTTTTTTTTTTTTACATACTGTCACCCTAGCAGTACAGTGTCACCATGGTGACACTGTACTACTTGTGGGGGGTGATGAAGATTTTTTTTTTTTTTTTTTTTACACTGATTGCTTTTACACCCATATAGGATGTAAAAGCAATCATTTCTCTTTCTCTCTGTCTGCATTCTTGCAGTCATTGAGAATTACTGAGTGAGCTGTGAGTGGTCACAGCTTGTCACATGGTACAAGGCTGTTGTGAATAGCCTTGTACCATGTGACCTCTGTGATCATTCACAGATTTCACACAGAGTAAGCAATGATGTCACAAGTGACATCTTGCTTACTACTTTGCATGTGATCACTGATTGGCCAATCAGTGATCACATGATCGGGACCTCGTACAGAGGTCCCGTCCGACGATCGGTGTTTCACTGTGTCCGGAGGACACAGCGGGCACAGGATCGCGGTGGTGTGCGCCCCCAGGGAGCACGCACAGCTAGAAAAGGCAGGTGCCGTTTATGAACGGCAACCCGACCCTGGACTGCCACCGCCCTGCCGTTTATAAACAGCAGGCGGACGGCAAGAGGTTAAGAACATTTTAATTTTACATGAGAACAAGTAACCACTCCCTATTCCTCAAAAGCAACACAAGAAGCAAGAAATCATCAATATAAAACTCCAGAACTCTGGAGGGAAAAGCTACTTGCGCTTTCATTATGGCCCTCAACATTTCATTCCATAAACTATATGTTAATGTCTTTCGGGCACCTCTGGCATTCAGGGATGTATTTTGTCATCCTTGTAGCATTTGGAAAAGAATATTTCTTCTCACAATGTTTGAAAATTTGCAACTTTGCTCTCTGCGGAAACTGTACTTTGGAAATGCTTCCAAACTCTATATATTAGTCTCACAATTTTACTGAAAAGAGGTAAAAAAAAAAAATGACTGACTATACTATAGGTAAACATTATGCTGTGATGATGGAGAAAATTAATAGGAATCATTTAAAGGTTATAAACTAATTTGTGAGACATATTTACCCTCTTACCTGCCAATTAGGGCCTGATAGGATAGAGACTATCATCTACTGTATCCCAACAATCACTCAACTGTAAGATGGACTCCACAAGCAAACTAAACTGAGTCTTTCCCCTGCAGTGCCCCCTAGTGGAAAAAATGCATATTTCTCTTGTTTGAAAACTGCATTGAGACGTACAGTGTTACATGAAATGTATTTTACATCAATTGTATTTTACATAAAGTCTGAGAAATCTTTCAGTAAAATCTTAATTTTATAAAGTTTGAATACCATATCATAGATATATTATCATTGTAAAGGAGCAGTTTTTTTATTTTTCCGGAACAAAATAACAAAAATGGCTTTGGAAAAAACAGGGAAAACCCTGTTTTTCTCCCAATTTTTCTGTTTTTTTACATGCTGTCTCATCTTTAGACAGGACCAGTGGCTGAGACTTTCTCTCTCTCTTTTTCCACTTCCTCCTTCTGGGTTTTAAAGCCCACCTCCCAGAGTAGGGAAGTGCTAATACATAATTATACATCACACTGTGATATTAGCAGCCAACAGTAGAGGGCAGAAGATCCCTATACCTGTTCTGGTGACAACCCAAAAGTAGGGATTTTCTTTCACTTTCAAGCTCAGTGAATACAAGAGAGAAACAATTTTTCCCCTATACAAAGCATTAGTAAAGCCTCATCTGGAATATGTAGTTCTGTTTTGGGCACCAATTCACAAAAAGAACATTGGGGAACTGGAGAAAGTACAGAGTAGGGCAACCAAACTAATACGAGGCATGGAGGAGATCAGCTATGAGGAAAGATTAGAGGAACTGAATTTATTCTCTCTTGAGAAGAGGAGATTAACTTCTTGCCAACCGCAGATAGCCGAATGACGGCTACACTGTGACTGGCTAGTTCTGGGAGGGCGTCATATGACGTCCTCCCAGAACGCGCTCTCCTGCGCGCACACCCGGCGATCTCCGTGATCACTGTGTCTTATGGACACAGCTGATCACGTGATGTGGTAAAAGGCCAATCACAGCGGCCTTTTTACCACATGATCAGCTGTGTCCAGTGACACGCTGATCGCCGGGAAATGCAATTGCCGGTTCTCGGCTGCACTTTCCTCACACTGTCAGAGTGCGAGGAAAGTACTGCAGAGAACCAGCAGTTGTCAGAGAAGGGATCGGCACCGATCATCAGGGCACTGATGATCAGTGCCCTGATGATCGGTGCACAGCAGTGCCACCCACCAGTTCCGCCCACCTGTACCCAGCAGTGCTGCCCACCAGTGCCCAGCGGTGCCACCCACCAGTGCCCAGCAGTGCACCCACCTGTGCCCAGAAGTGCCACCTACCTGTGCCCAGCAGTGCCACCCACCTGTGCCCACCAGTGCCACCCACCAGTGCCCATCAATGCAGTGCTGCCAGTCAGTGCCAGCGGTTGTGCCAGTCAGTGCCCGTCAGTTGCGCCAGTCAATGACTAGCAGTGCCGCCAGTCAGTGCCCAGCAGTGATGCCAGTCAGTGCCACCTATCAGTGCTGTCTATCAGTACCCATCATCAGTGCCGCCTATCAGTGCCACCTATCAGTGCTGCCTATCCGTGACACCTCATTAGTGCTGCTGCCTATCAGTGCCGCCTATCCGTGCCACCTCATTAGTGCTGCCTATCAGTGCCGCCTTTCAGTGCCCTTCAGTGCTGCCTATCAGTGCCCATCAGTGCCACCTATTAGTGCCCATCAGTGAAGGAGAAAAATTGCCTGTTTGAAAAATGTTATAAAAGAAACAAAGAAAAAAAAATTGTTTTTCAAATTTTTTGCACTTTTTTGTTTATGGTGCAAAAAGTAAAGTCCCCAGTGGTGATTAAATACCACCAAAAGAAAGCTCTATTTGTGAGAAAAAAATGATAAAAATGTCATATGGGTACACGTTGCATGACCGCGCAATTGTCAATCAAAGTGCAATAGCACTGAAAGCTGAAAATTGGCTGGTAAAGAAGGGGGTATAAGTGCCCGGTAGGCAAGTGGTTAAGGGGCGATATGATCAACATGTATAAATAAATCAGTGGTTCACATAGTGAACTCGGTGTACAGTTATTCGCTTTCAGATCATTACACAGTACATGGGGTACTCTTTACGTCTGGAGGAAAAGACACCTCCACATATGGAAAGGCTTCTTTACAAGGAGAGCTGTGAAAATGTGGAACAGATTCCCTCAAGACCTGATTCTGGCCATCTCAGTATATTGTTTTTAAAAAAAAAAAAAGAGCTGGATGCATTCCTAAATGCACAAAATATAACTGAATACTAACATTTATAGGTAATAACACCAGAGATTGTTGATCCAAGGCATATCCAATTTCCGTCAGGTGATCAGGAAGGGATTTTTTATCCCACTGGAACAATATTGGATCATGCTTTATTGGGGATTTTTGCCTTCCTCTGGATCAACCGTGAGCATAGGATTCTGTATTTGGAGATCTATTTATTTTTTTTTCTATTTGATGAACTAGATGGACTTGTGCCTTCTGTCAACCTGACTAATTATGTTGTAAAAACTCATTTGCACGTGCAGCTTTACATGCACTTTTACATGCATTTGTGGTGCTTTTGCAGTGCACATGCATCATGCTTGCAGTTTATTAGGGCTCTCTCACAAGGACGTTTTGATCAGGTTCGGCCGTTTTCCAGGCGGACCTGATCGGAACCTCCATTCTCCTGTATGGAGCGGCGAGTGTAAATGGACATGTATCCATTTACACCTGCTGACATCCAATCCGTCCGCCCAAAAAGGGACAGATGGGGATCTAATTCTTCATCCATCCATCCGTTGGATCACGTTGGATGAAAACTGACCGCCCATTGAGGAAAGAGAGCAGCTCTGTGTCTGAGAGATCAGCAGAAAGATCCCCGCTGAGCAAGCGGATCCGCTAAACGTCTCTGTTCCCTGTGAAAGGACCCTTAGACATTTTTTTATTTTTTGCTATGTTGCATTTACATGTGTTTGTGGTGCTTTTGCAGTTGGTTCACATGCATTCTGATGTGTTCATGTACAAAAAATAAATGTTTATGCATTTAACGTGCATAAGGTATAACTGAAGACTTTTTTGTTTAGTTTTGGATGGAGTGGAGAGTGATTAGAACTCCTGACAGGTGTTTATTGCTGTCTGTGCCACCATTAGGGAGATTCACCCTCTTTATTTGTCCTGTTTCCAGACTTCCGCCTGGCAGTACTAGGGTTGTTGGTTCGAATCCCAGCCATGGCACCTCCTGCTTGGAGTTTGCATGTTCTCCCTGTGTCTGCATGGGTTTCCTCCGGGTACTCTGGTTTCCTCCCACGCTCCAAAGACATGCTGGTAGGTTAATTGGATCCTGTCTAAATTGACCCTAGTATGTGTATGTATGGATGTGAGTTAGGGACCTTAGATTGTACGCTCCTTGAGGGCTAGGGACTGATGTGAATGTACAATATATATGTGTAAAGCGCTGCGCTATATAAGTACCTGAAATAAATAAATCACTGAGAGTGGAAGTAAAGAAAATTCCAAATTATGAGCGGTCACCAGACTAGGAATAGAGGGGAAATCTTCCAATGGGGACACTAGGACTAGTTACTCTGGTGACTGCCAGAGATTTTTTCTCTCTTTGGAGGGATTTTCCCTCACTTCCTGTTTTGGACATGGGTTATAAATAGGCTTAGTCTAAAATTAGGTTTGAACTGAACCTGGAAGCAACCTGTTGATCCTGCCAGATCAATCGGTATCAACCAGGACATTCCTTGCAAAGGGGCAGAGATGCTTGTGACATTATTGACCTAATATGGCCACGTGCCCAAATTTAGACACTAGCAATGACCCACGTGTGTTGTGATAATACATTTTACAGCTCTCAATGCAACACATAGTAATTCATGAAGATAAACTTTGAATGGTACTCAACACAGCTAGGCAACGTAACACATTTGGGTTTCAGCACGCTGCAACACAGATTTGAAAAATTAGGACATGTTCATTAAAATAAGCATTGCACTGCTTTGGCAGCGTCTTTAAGAATAGGTTGAAATGCATGTTAATGGGCAAAATACTGCATTGGTGTAAACAGGTCCTAAAATTAGTTTTTCTTTCGCACCCTGCCCACAAATAGTGACCCATCAGACAATATCACCAGAATTTGCTGTACTGTTTGTTGCCTGAGCTACAAGAGGAATCACCTATCTAAATTAGTGATGGGTCAAACACCCCCCTGTTTGGTTCGCAGTTGAACGGAAGTTCAACTGCAAATT